TATATATATATATACACAAACCCTATCATTTCTCCTACATTTGATTTTCAACCCAAATGACTCAGTTTGTCTTTAAAGAAAACCATATCATGAATTTCTTTAATCAGCCAAGTGATCTTATAACACTATGTTGCTATTGAGTATTCGAAAGATGGCTAGTACAATTTGAGATGTGCTACATGTATTCAACATACATTGGATTTTAAAGACACATTATTTTTTAAAACAGCAGTTCTCAACCTGTGAGTCGTGATCCACAGGAACTGTATTAAAGGGCTGCAGTATTAGTAAGGTTGAGAACCACTGTTTTAAAAGGATATAAATTATAATCCATTATATATCTAAATGATATTTTGAATATGGTGAATTAAATATATCTATAACATTAATTTCACCTGTATTTACTTGCCTTTGTAAAAAAAAAATGTGACTACTAGCAAATTAAATTGGAGAAATTAGGGGTTTCATCCATTCCCATAGTTATTTTTTAATCATAGTCAAATTTTAGTGATGAGTTTTAGTTACCAGTAAACTCTCAAAGACTATAAAGACCCCATAAAAATCTTAATTGCTCTGTTATGTTGCCTTTTATTTTTCAAACTACCCAGAGCAAATAAAACCATGTTCATGAAAATGCAATTGGAATAAGTGGCCGATGAACCCATTTTGACAATATCATACTCAAGAGAAGACATCATGGTTTACTTGATAGAGTAGTCATATTGTTCCATAAGTTTGATCTAAGGAATATCACTATGATATTGCCCTCAAACCTAACCACAGGTCAACATTACCTGGAGAGTGTTAGGAATAGAGATACCCAGACTTAACACTTGGATCTATTTTGTTAAAAGAACCACTTCTTAAAAAAAAAATTTTATTAAGTCAAATAAACATAGATCATGATTACATTCATGCATATGTGGGGTACAATGTGCTGATTTTTTTTATATACAATCTTACATGCTTACATTAAACTAATCAACATAGCTTTCACCTCATTTACTTGATTATTGTGCCAAAATATCTATGTTCTACCCTTTACAAGTCAAATCTTTGAAGAACTACGTTTTTAAACAATGAATTTACACAGGTGAGAATTTAACCACAGTCATAATGTACATGTTTTCTCAATTAAAAAAAAACACCATTTTTTGTTATATGAGAAAAAGATATTTCTACATAGTCAGTGAACATGTGTGTGAATTAAATGATGAAAGTTTTAGTTAATGAATACTTTAATTCTTTATTCCTTTTTAATATTTATTTTATTTATTTTATTTTTTTGAGACAGAGTCTCAAGCTGTCACCCTCAGTAGAGTGCTGTGGCATCACAGCTCACAGCAACCTCAAACTCTTGGGCTTAAGTGATTCTCTTGCCTCAGCCTCCCAGTAGCTGGGACTATAGGCACCTGCCACAACACCTAGCTAAATGAATCAACACCATAAATAAATCAATATTTATTAATGTAAGGATAATCATAATCATTTTATTATTCCTCAAACAGGGAAAAATGTGAATGCAATTGATATGAGTTTGGAACTTGCCTATATAATATTCTGTTTACTTTCAGATTAATTTTTTAAAGACTGAAGTGGAGAGGAAAAGCAAAATGATCCGAGACCTCCAGAATGAGGTAAGATTTGGATTTCAGTCAAATGTTTATGCAAATCAAAGATTACATACAAATACATATATACATTTTCCATAGCTTAAATAGTTAATCACATACAAATTTAACCTTCAATTATAAACTAATGGAGAGAAATTGCTATAAGTATTTCAAAGTATTCTAAGTATTTCAAAGAGTGGGTTATCTTTACGTTTATATTACTTGCTAATTTCAAAACTCCCTAATTTGTTTTTTAATTATATTTTTCTTGAACTAATAATAAAAAAATCAGTTTGTATTTTCACAAATTTATTTGTCTATCAAATGACATCACAGACACTGAAGAAAAAAACTAGCTAGAAATTGGCTGCATGCTAGAAAGAGCCAATATGAAATGAAAAATGTGTATAAGGATAATCTCAGTGTAATATAGACTTGAAGATAAAGAATCTCTAACACTTTGCATATTTTTTTAAATTTAAGAACCCTATATACTGCATTTTTTCTTTTGATTCTTTTTCTATTTTGTTATATAAATACTTTATTTTCTATAATTTTTCCCTTACATTTGTATTTTCACCTTTTTATTTATCTTTTATTAAATGGAATTAGCTAATTAGGATAATTAAATCATGACTGACTACATTATTATTATTATTGCTCAATATTTCGTTGCAGCAATTGTCTGATTTCTTTTCTGAATGTATTTATCTTCGTTTGTTCTTTATGAGGTTTTTGTTTCTAGTCCTTAACTTAAACCTTTTTATTGTTATTAAATTTTAAACCTTTTTAACTTTGCGAAAGCAAAAAGTAGAAATCAAATAAACACATGTAAAAAATATATAAGATGTGTCTTCTTTGATCAATCCCATGGTTTATGGCTGATATTGAATCTCCTGTCCATCTCTTTAGCCTTTACTGATCCTTCCTTCCTTCCTTCCTTTATATGTAAGACAATGGATGACTTATATTTTTCCTAAATGACTTCTATCTTAATGTAAAAGTTAAAGGATAAACTTTACACATACTTTGGCATCATTATTCTTCATCCCCCCATTCTGATTATGACATTAAAATGATTTCCCAAATGTGAGAAGAAAGTATAGAAGAAAGGAAGCCTGAACAATTCTAAGTGGCTTTTTGTTCATTCTAATGTCTTTTTATTTTTTAATGATATGTTTCTGTTGAGTCTTCTAATGAAATGGTCATGCAAGAATTTGATAACATTTTCTCTGATGCTATTCTTTATTTCCTGGTTATAATGGCAAAATATCAACAGACCAAAATTATCAGAATACTAGATATATTGAATACTTTTTTCTTCATTGATGATGATTTAAAGCTCAGTGAGAAGACCATATCACTCTAGTCAAAAAAAAAAAAAAAAGCCCATTGACCATTTAAACCAAAGGCAACATTTAAAGCTCCATTAACATCAGTACTAAAATTTGCATAGGTGCAGGCACACACACGCAAGACACAAATGAATACATATCCACACACAAAGAGACCAATAGGAACACAGTTATATATAGAATTATGGATTAATTTATATCTTTATAGAGGTAGAATAAGTTCATTATTAATGTTAACTAATTTTTAAAAATCAAAAATTCAACTAAACCAATCTTGCATTCCTGAGATAAAACCCACATTATCATGATGTATAACTTTTTTAATGTGTCACTGTATTCTATTTGCTAATACTTTATTGAATATTTTTGTGTCAATATTCATTAATGATATTGGTTTGTAGTTTTCTTTCTTCTTCTTCTTCTTCTTTTTTTTTTTTTTGGTTGTGTTCTTTCCTGATTTTGGGATCAGGGTGGTATTTGCTTCATAGAGGTTATTGGGAAAGATTCTTTCTTTCTCTATGTTAAAAATAGATTATACAATATAGGTACTAGTTACTCTTTCAAGGTTTTGTAGAATTCTGGTCTGAAATCATCTGGTCCAGGCCTTTTGTTTTTTGGATGATTTTGTGTAGTTGGTGATATTTCAGTGCTTGATATAGATATGTTCAAACTTCCTAATTCTTTCTGGTTTAAGAAGATGGCATGCTTCAAGATATTAGTCTATTTCCTCTACATTTTAAATTTCTGGACATAGAGTTTTTTGTATTAATCATTGAAAATCTTTTGTATATCTGTGGTATCTTTTGTTATTTCCCCTTTATCCTTTCTGATTAAAGTTAGTATAGATCTCATTTTTCTGTTTCTGGTTAGTCTGGCCAAGGGCTTATCAATTTTTTTAACCTTTGCAAAGAACCAACTTTTTATTTTGCTGATTTTCTGTTTTGTTTTGTTTTCTTTTCAAATTCATTTGATTCTGCTCTAATTTTGGTTGTATCTTTTATTCTACTGGGTTTGGGGTTGAATTGTTCTTCATTTTCCAGTTCCTTGAGATGGCCCATTAGTTTGTCAACTTGTTCTCTTTCTGTTTTCTTGATAAAGGCATCTAATGTCAGAAATTTGCCTCTTAGGACTGCTTTTGCAATATCCCACAGGTTTTCAACATTTGTAAATCCATAAATTCACCACATAAATAAAATCAAAGCAAAGACCACATGATTCTTTCAATTAATGCAGAAAAGGTTTTTGACAATATCCAGTGTCCTTTCTTGATAAGAACACTCAAGAAAACAGGCTTAAGTAGGACATTTCTTAAACTGTTAGAGGCTATCTACAAAAAACCCACAGCAATATCGTATTGAATGGAATAAAACTGAAATCATTTCCCCTCAGAACTGGAATTAGACAAGGATATCTACTGTCACCATTGCTATTCAACATAGTGCTAGAAGTCCTAGCCATTGCAATCAGGCAAGAGAAGGAGATCCAGAGTATTAGAATTGGGACAGAGAAGGTCAAACTCTTGCTCTTTACGGATGATATGATCTTATACCTAGAAAACTCCAGGAATTCATCTATTAAATTCTTAAAATTGATCAAGGACTATAGTGGCATCTCTGGATACAAAACCAATGCCCACAAATCAGTAGCCTTCATGTATGGCAATAACACTCAAGCCAACAATAAAGTCAAAGACTCTATCCCTTTTACAGTGGTTCCAAAGAAGATAAAATGCCTGGGTATATATTTAACAAAGGATGTGAAATATCTTTATAAATTAAACTATGATACCCTGAGAAAAGAAATAGCAGATGTTAACAAATGGAAGAACTTACCATGTTTGTGGCTGGGAAGAATCAACATTTAAAAAATGTCCATACTACCCAAAGCAATCTACAGATTTAATGCAATCTCCATCAAAGCATTAATGTCATACTTTAAGGAACTTGAAAAAATAGTACTTCATTTCATGTAGAACCAGAAAAAACTGAACAGGCAACACAATTTGTAGAAATACAAACAAACCAGGAGGCATCATGTTACCAGACTTCAGGTTATACTGCAAGTCCAGAGTGATCAAAATGGCATGGTACTGACACAAAAGTAGAGACACAAATCTATGGAATAGAATAGAGAATCTAGAGATGAACCCAGCCATATATCACCATTTGATCTTTGATAAACTTAACAAAAACATAGACTAGGGAAAAGAATCTCTGTTTACTAAATGGTGCTGGGAGAACTGGTTAGCCACATGTAGAAGACTGAAATTGGACCCCTACCTCTCACCACTGACAAAGATTGACTCTCACTGGGTAAAAGATTTAAGTTTAAGGCAGGAAACAATAAAAATTCTGGAAGACATTGTAGGGAAAATGCTTGAAAATATTGGCCTAGGAAAAGATTTTATGAGGAAGACCCTCCTAACAATTGCTGCAACACCAAACATAAATAAATGAGTGGGATTTGATCAAACTAAAAAGATTTTGCACAGCCAAGGGAACCACACACAGAGCTAACAGACAGTCTTCAGAATGAGAGAAAATGTTTGCATGTTAGGATCTGACAAAGTCTTGATGATAATTAGAATCTACACAGAACTCAAATTAATCAGTGGGAAAAAAGCAAACAATGCCATTCTAACTGGGCAAGAGATCTGAACAGAAACTTCTCTGAAGATGACAGATGAATGTCCAACAAACACATGAAAAATACTCTGCATATTTAATCTTCAGAGAAAAGCAAATCCAAACCACTTAGAGATATCATCTAACTTCAGTAAGATTAGTCCACATCACAAAGTCCCAAATCTGCAAAGGCTGACATGGATGTGGTAAGAAGGGAACATTTCTACACTGCTGATAGGTCTGCAAACTAATACAACTGTTATGGAAAGAAATATGGAGAACTAAAGAACTAAAATTGTACCTTCCATTTGAAACCACAATCCCATTACTAGCTATCTGTCCAGAAGAGCCAAAATTATTTTACCACAATGAAATTTGCACCAGAATGTTTATTACAGCTCAGTTTATAATTTCCAAGTCATGGAAGCTACCCAAATGCTCATCACCCCATAAATGGATTAACAAACAACCTGTGGCAAATATATATCATGGGGTACTGTTCAACCATTAGAAAAGATGGAGACCTTTCATCCTTTATTTTTACTTAGATGGAGCTGAAACACGTTCTTCTTAGTAAAGTACCTCAAGAATGGAAAAAAATATGTGTATATATATATATACACATATACATTATATATACGTTATATATATTTTTTCATACATATGTATATATACATATATAAACACATGTAAACACACACATATATATACACATTTATATATATGTATTTATATATATTTTATATTTATAAAATCTCCAATGCACTAAACACTAATATGAAACCAGTGCAGGATGTCCATAAAGTAAATTTTAAATTGCGTATGTATTTTATGTACACTCCATATTCAAACAATTACATTACATGCCCACACGGACTATAAAACACAATATGGTCTAGTAGAGGGGAGGGGAGAGGCTGTAGGGCCGAGGGGGCACCGGGAAGGGTGATTGCCAGGATCTCACTTACTGTCCACAATGTGAGAGTGTTCAGCACGCCCCTGGGGTGAAGGGCTCTGCTACAACTTGAACTTTACCATGGAAGTT